ACTGATGCTCCTTCAGGTCAGAGGGAACATTAATGCTGGGAGTCAGAGAAGCATCTGAAATTTCACATTAGACACACATTTAGTTGATGTTTTATGTGTGTGTCACATAAAACATGTGCATTTATTAAACACAACATGATTGTTGTGTTTAATAAATGCATTGGGAATATGTATATTTACTGAAGAAAAATATAAACACAGCATTTCTGTTTTTGCTCCCATTTTTCATGAGCTGAACCAAAATACCTAAAACATTTTCAATATAAACATTTCTCTCTGACATTGTTCATTAATCTGTCTTAATCTGTGGTAGTGAACATTTTCTTTTTAATACATAATCCCTCCTGCCTGTGGCGTATCAAGATCCCAATTACACAGAATAATTACTGCACAGGAGCATGTTCCAGTTCCTGAAAATATCCATCAGCTTTGATCAGCCATTGAATATCAGCCCACTTTTTAAAGGAATGGCCCATCACTCCACAACCAACAAGCTGATCAACTCTATGTGAAGGAGATGTGTTGCACTGTGAGAGTGAAATGGTGGTCACACCAGATACTGACTGGTTCTCAGACCCCAGAATTAAGCAAACAGCACATTTCAAACTGGTCTTTTAATGTGGCCTTCCTAAGACACAGCTGTAATCAATCTAACCAGTAAATCTCCAAATTCTGTAATTTTTTAATTACCATATTCATTTATCATATTTTTTATATATATATATATATATATACATATATATATATATATATATATATATTTTTTTTTTTTTTTTTTTTAATAAAAATGAAATTATGTTTTTAAAAAACATGTATTACCAATGAGGCCAGGACAGATGCTTTTCGATTTCTCACTACCAAGCTCATTTGTGGCCTCACAGTAATACTCTCCTGGCTCAGTAGCACTGAAAATCTGCTTCTCAGATATTTTAACTTCTCCACGTCCGGTGTTCTTGAACCAGGTGATTTTGGGTGGAGGTTTGGCTCTGCTGGAGCAGCTCAGCTCCACCCTGCTACCTG